ACAGTAGAGAAAAAGAAAGAATATGTATGACACAAATGCAAAAAAAAAGTAAGTAGAGGTTAAAATAAAACACAAATGAGATTTATTTCACTAGGACTCAAGAAGAAAGTGGGAGTATTCTATATTTGCATGTAGAAAATAATTTATTTGAAAATTCTTCTGTTAATAGTTGGAATTTCAGGCTCCATGGTTGATTGCTGGGGTGGAGAAGAAGTTGTCTCTGAATCACACTTTTTAAGCAATCTCTAATTCTGAACCAAATATGATAGGTCATAGGTATTATAACAATGATGATTATTAGGATGGTATAGTTCAACAATATTAGAAACCTGGTTGGACAGGTAGAAGTTGCAAGGAAAAAGAAAAAAAAAAGAAATAGAAAACAGACGGGTGTTTAAGTCAAGAAGAGCATACTGCCTTTGCTCAAGAACATAGGAAAAGCAACCAGTTGTTACATTAATAAAATTCAGAACAATCCTAAAGCCTGATTGTTTTTTAAATGAAGTTCATAATATTTGGAAACTAGGCAAGATGTTAAAAAAATGGAAAAATATGATTGAATGCTGCAAGGCCAGGAAGAAAAAAGAAAGACTGAAAATAAACTGACTTTCCTGACAGATAATGGGCAAAAGGGGGGAAAAAACTGGGGTTAAAAAAATTATGGTCAGGAAAAATGTCATTGCCTGGGAGGAAAGAAAACTAATAATAGGTAAGTACAAAATATAAGAGATTTCCAAGATTTTCTATTTTTATCTGATTTTTAAAATTCAATTACAATCAGTTGTGGAAAAGGGTCACCTTACCGTAAGAGCTAGAAAAGAATAAACTGGGTTATGAAAGAAGCACCCAGGAACATTAAACCAAATCAAGACGAAGTAGAAATAATTTGGCTTATTAATTTTACAAGGGTACTTAACAAATACTGGTTAGTTTAAAAGTTGTGCTGGAGGTCATAAATTCCTAGAGATTGAGGCAGAGTTACTGGATTATCTGTCTATTAATCAAAGGGGAGAGAAAGCCCTGGTAATTAAGGAGCTGTCACCTGAACTTCACTGCCTAGAAAGACAAGTATAAATCATCAAACAATCAATTTGCAATCACAGAGAACTGAGAACAGAGTAGAGACGGGCATGCCTTTCAGAGAACAGTTTTGTTCCATGATGAACAAAACTTTTGTTCCAGGAGGGGGAAAGATGAGGGACTTTAAAAGATGTAGAAAATGTAGATTTCAATAACACATTTTCATCTTGAACCAGAAATTGTTTGAACTGTTGACCTCAGTGTTGCAGCAGAAATTATGGCAGGAATACAGTCTTTAAAATCACTTGAATTAAAATAGATTTTGTTTCAAAAATTAAACTCTCCTTATACACTACAGATATTTGAGACATTTTCATCTACAATCATAAAGGAATTCTACCTCTTGATAAACACACAGGTGATTTCGCCCAATTTTACAAGACTGTCATGCTATTGAAACATTCTGTATGGTTCTCCTGTTCTTCGAAGCAGCACGTCTGTGCACATAAATAATCTTATCAATCACCTCCTAAAAAATGCCTGCAGGAGAAGAAATCTTGCCAAAATAATCACTTCACTCATATAATGAATGATAGACTCAATATCCCCCACCAATTTAGCTTATTGATGTGTTTGGCATAATTTCTCTAGAATGAATTTGCTGAGTATTATAACCCACCATAAAAAAGGAAAATAGTCTATCATCCCCAAGTGTGGTGCACATTTACTTGGTATCCATTTCCTCAAAATTGAATGGTGTTATTTATCTCAACTAACTGCAGGTCTCTGAAATGAATTTTATATGACCATTACTTAGAGCTTTCCAGCACTGATCACGGCTATACTCATAGTTCATTTTTTTCTCAGGAAGAAAGTGGTTAATAATTTTAGATTGTAACAGTCATCTGGACTTGATTCTATATAGAAACCCTCGTGTAGATTCAATAGTGTAATATTGAAACATGCTCATTAATGTTTTGACAAAACTATGTCACAAAATTACGATGAAAATCCAAATTAGCAGAAATTAAGTGTATAAATAGCAAGTTTACAGAGTGGATTTTTAATTTTTTTATAGTGAGCTAAAAAAAAAAAAACACGAAAACAACAATGGCCCATAATTCTAGCACAGTCGTAATACCTGTTTTCATTAAAAATGAGAGTGCTTCAAAAAGTTCATGGAAAGCTTCATATTATCTTTTAATTCTACTTTTCCACAAACTTTTTAAAATACCCTTGTAAATATGTACAATACAAATAAAAAAAAAAGCCCTCCCCCAGCAGTTTGTCTTAGAATTAGGCATATTAATAATTCTCCTGTACCCCTCCAGAAATATTCTATGCAGAACCAATACCAATATTTATTTAACTTACACAAATCTTCTGGTAACTTATGTACTATCCTGTTTTTAGCTATATTTTTACTTAATAATTACTTGAAATCATTCCACAGTAGCAAATATAAATATGCATAATTTTGACTGCTACATAATATTCTATGGTGAATATACCATAATCAATCAACTAGATTTGATGGGTATTTAGATTTTATCATTGAGTTTCCATTTATAAAAAAATCCTCTTCTAAATTTACACTGAGAATTGACTGAGTCATGAATGAAATTACAATGTACATTAAATTTTTTAAAACGTCAAAGTACGCATGAAAGTTTCTCAACATCAAATTGAAAAGAGGTGTAACCCAATCAACTTACTTTAGAGCATTAAGGAGGAAAGTCTCAGGAGAATTATGTGAGGAAATGATTGTGAAACCCTTAGCTCACTGCTACAAAATTATCAGGGCTGAAACACGTTTGTTTGGCAAGTAGTCCAGAGATGACAGCAGATGACTCATACCAAAAAATGTATGAGTCTTGTTTGTTGGCCCTGAAAACCAAGGTGAGCAGGAATACGGTGGGGTCCCATGGGACAGGGATGAAAGAGAAAAATATCCTCAAGGAAAAGAAAAAGTCCATGAAGGTAATGAGGTTAGAAGAATTATTTGAGGAAAGATTAATGCAAAATGAAGCTTATTCACGAAACTGAAGTCTCTACTCACTTCAAAGTGGCCAGTAGACAGGAGGCCCAAGTAGTATAAGAAAGGAAAGTCCTGAGTTGAAAGAAAATAAAAATACTAAGAATCACTCACTTTGCTTAACAGAAATGTGGACACTTTCCATAGAGAATTTTTGCTAAAGATGTTTACTCAACAAATTAAAGATATTTACTCATAAACTATAAATGAAGCAAATTAAAGATATTTACTCATAAACTATAAATGAAGTCTTAAAAATATATTATGTAGAAGAAAATATGTTCTTTGAGTTGAAAATACTAACCCTCTAAAAAGTTTTCCCAAATTATTAATTTCTTCAATATTATTTCCTATTACACAAACCCCAGACCAAATAGTCAAGAGAGGAATGGGACAAATTGAAACTAAGGTTCTTGCAGCTGTAGATTCAGATGATGTAATATAATATATTAAATATATTTATATTAAATACTGAATTGCTCATTTAACAGCATGGGGTTCTCATTAGTCCTTGCAGAAATATAGTAATACACACAAAAAAGTTAAATTCCAGTTTGAACAATGTGAAAAGATGAATTATGTCAGAGTAGAATTTAATTACTGGGTCTATGAAGCAGAAATCTATTGACGTGGATACTATAAAAACTCAAAGTACCACGCCTGCTATGACTACTCTCAGTAAAAGTAAAAAGAAACATTTAGAAAATTTGTAGATTCCATAGTCCAAGGAGCATAATGATAAAAGAGCAAGCCATGTCAGCCAAATATTTTATTTACATTTAATTACAGTTCTTACCTTCCATAATTTTTTTCTGTGAACTCTAATAGTCTCTGCAATATTCAGATGTTAACTATAAAATAATCATTTAGTATTTCAGAAATATAACTTTTAACAGTAATGAATATGACCATCCAGAAATATGTAGACAGCTTTTATTATATAAATGTATATTAAAAATTAATCAGAGTATATGATTATCATAGTAAATTTAATTTGCTAAATAGCATTTTAAATGAACTCATGGCTTTTGCGGTAACCAAACCACCCATCTTCATATGGAGTACGGATGTTCATAACTCAGAAAGCCTAACATTCTTTCTTTTTTTGCTGACTGCTCAAAATGAAGTATATTTTAAACAGATTCAAATTCAAAATATACCTTTTAATAAATCCAAATCCAAAAATAAGGATAGATTCAAATTTGAACATGAAGCCTCATCATCCTACAATCTATAATAATCACCAGCATTGAAAAAAAGTACTAGTTGCCAACCAGTTTTACTGATCACAGACGGAGAATTTATGACTTTCTTAAGCTCAGGAGATTACTTGGGAGTACAATCAATTATTGGAAGCAAAGGAAAAGAAACTGTCAAAGAAATTCTAGACAGGGAGGAAAAATGGTAAAATTGATATTTTACTCCAAAGTTTGAGAACAACTGAAAACATACCAATAAACAATGCCTCAAACAGATGTATACAAAAGTATCCCCACGATTACACACACACACATACACACAGACCATTTAGGATGGACGTAATAACACTGCTGAAACACACATCCATGTATCGATGAATCTTTGCATGGGTATTCACATTTCACGGAATTTCTACACTTTCTAATACTCATAAATTTAAACTAAAAAAATTTGATAAACAAGACAGACAGATTGGATGGCAGATAAGTGGAATTGTTGGATTACTCAGGTAGAAAAGCACAGAGAACTTTCAACACACCACAGACTGCTGCTATATTTTTAAAATGTCAAAAAGGATCAGATTTTTTTAATTTTTTTTTTATTTTTAATGAACTAAAGAGGAGTTAATATAAACTCTAACCTCTGTGGTAAAGTTAAAACTGAAGTAACCTATTCAAGATTTGTGAAAAGCAAGGAAGGATGAAAGTAGCCATTACGTCTTCACAGACCACTACACATAAAATACCTTTTCACTCTGTCTTCTCCATTCCAGCAGGGCAGTCCATCCGCAGCAGCCAGTTCATTCGCACAAAGCTCATCAGCCAGGCCTCTGTAAAATGACCGGTACAGTCGAAGGCTGCTGATAAATTCTCTGAACAGAAGGACAAAGAAAACAGTTAAAACCAAAAATCCATAACAAAGGCCAACTTAAATGGCATATAGTGTTATGCATAATGTTTCCAAGGCAACTTTTTTATTTTCTCTACTTATTTTCATATATTTCAAATACTTTTCTCACAATCAAGACAAAAATTACATGATCATTTTTTAAAATGCTTGTATTTGAATTTAATCTTTGAAAAAAACTTTTCACTGGGTATGAATCTTATATAACTCCAGGTCCAAGAGGTTGTGAATAGTATATATGGGTGCACACATGCACACACACACACACACACACACACACACACACACACATCATTTATCTTCCCTAAAAGTCCTCACTAGCTGTTGACATCTAAACCACAGTGTTACTATTTTCTTTTCTATGTAGAAAGTGTCAGAGGCTTACAACATGCTAATTGATTGCTTGCTGATTCAAAGTTTAGTAGATTTGGGTTATTTTCTATGTGGATCTTCTCTTTGATGTCTAAGAACATAAAGTAATATATTTATTAAATATGACCAAAAGACCCAGATATGTAGGATATTTCAGAAGCATGAAAATAAAAGCTATTGAAAAGAATAACATTTAATATATTAACTAAGGTTTTTTATTTCCCCCTGTCAATTATGGGAGGAAAAATTCCACAACAACAAAAAAGGGGTTTTTTGGATTTTGTTTTGTTTTATTTTTATTATTTAGAAAGCCAAGACTTTGAATTTTAAAACCAAGACTTCAGAGTATGATGAACTTGAGTTTAAGCATTTCAAAAGACTAAGTCCTTAAGATCTTGGTTCTCAATTTTTTGACATAAACAAACATTTTGGAAAAAGAAATGAAAAGCTTTAGATTTTTACAGAGGAGATGCCCTCTAGACTAGAAGGCAAGAGCAAGAGAAGAAAACATTAGAAGTAAAAAATTTTAGAGATTCATGGGAAGAGAGGTTGAAATGTAGCAATTATTAAATTGCATCTCCTATTTAAAGTAAGAACATAATCTCTTTATAAGTGAGATGAGAGGAGGAATGACTCGAAATTACAGCTGGAGTAAACAAAATTTAAAAATTAAATCAAAATTTGACAGCACTGTTATTCAATCGCCTTAATTTTATAATTCTCTCCCATTTGTTATTTGAAAAACTACTTATGAAAATTGCCAGATTAATATGTAGAAAGAATAAATATTATTTTTAAATAGATTACATTAAAAATCACAGAGAAAATCAAAAGTTATCATGGCAAGTATTTGGTGAGTATTTAACCAAATTTTTAGCAAAGTTTGAACAGACATGTGATAAAACAGTTGCAAGAAGTATAAATCTGACTCAGTTCTAACTTATGATTGATCAAAAAATGGTTTATGTTCTTGCTAGCACAGTAATTATATTACGTATTTACCATCTGCAAGCCAAGGAAAGAAGCCCCTGGAGAAATCAAACCTGCCAACACCTTGATCATGAACTTCAACCTCCAGAACTGTGAGAAAATTCATTTCTGTTGCTTACGCTATCCAGTCTGTGGTATTTTGTTATGGCATCCTGCTGTAGGTTAAATGTGTTTCCCAAAAGTTCACACATTGGAAATAAATTTGATCCCCACTATAAGTGTTAAGAGGGTGGGAAATCCAATTATGGTATTTGAAAGGTGAGGCCTTTAAGAGGTGGTTAGATTTAGATCACTGTGCCCTAGAGAATGCATTGACCCGTTCATGTAGTAATGGGCATGGTTCTTTAAAAGCAGATCAAGTGAGCAGGTTATTAGCTCACTCTTGCTCAACCCATTCTCACCATGTGACACTGTGTTGCTGTAGAAGAAGACCCTTCCACATGTGTTCCCTGGACTTTGGACATCCCAGCCTTCAAAACTGTAAGAAATAAATTTAATTTCTTTATAAATTACCCAGTTTCAGGTACTCTGTTATAAGCAACAGAAAACAAACTAATTCACAGCCCTAGCAAACTAATACAATAATTAAAGCATTTGAAGTAGATTAATAGATTTCAGACTTGCAGTATGCTGAACATTAAAAGAGGGTCAGAAACTAGAAGTGGAGAATGCCAAAAAGGAAAATCAAAGGAGTTTTGTTTGTGTTATATCTATGCTTGTTTGAATATGAAAGATATTTGAAAATACTTGTGTGTGAAGGGGAGGAGATAACAAGGGTACACAGTCATTAACTTGCTCCCAAATATTACAGTTCTCGACTTTCTGGGCATACGTCCCCTTCAAACTTAGTTTTGGTCATGTGACTTGCATTGGGGCATATAAAATGTAGGCAGAAGTGATGCATGTTCCTTCCAAACTTAAGCTTCGAGAACCAGTGTGGCTTTGCCAGCTTCTATAACCCTCTACCATGATAACCAGCAATGTTTCAGATGAAGGCTGTTTTGTCAGTCTGAGTCCTAAAGCCTAGATAACATGAGCTGCAACACCAGCTGATCTGAAGCGGGCACAGGTTGCAAACAAAAACACAATTTTACTGTTTTAAACAAATGGTATGTTTGGGTAGTTTGCTACGACATCATAGCTTAGTCTGTCTTAACTGATAACAATGAGACAAGAAAAGAAATTTAACAATTGATGGATCACAAATTCTGAAAAATTCTGAAAATTAACAATTGATGGATCACAAATACTGAAAGAGAGAGGGGAGGATTACAGAAAACATAGTGGTTAGCTTTGGAGAAAATTCTCTGAGACCAAAATAAGGGAAGAAAGTCTATGTGAATGTTGAGATAAGTTTTAAGGTTTATGGGGAGATCCTACTTGGAACACTGTATTCTGTGTTTGGCAGTTTTTAGGTCACAGGAATTACAGGTGTTGCAAAACGTAATTGAATTGAAGGAGCAGGAGATCTACATTAGATATAAAAAAATAATAATTGAATTGGTGGGAAATAAAGGGGTTAAAACATTAGTAGCCATAGTGAGGTCAAAAAGACTTATCTACCACCAAAGAACCAATTAATGTTGGTCCCATCACAAGAATTCACCCCTCAGTTCCCAGCTCAATGCTTGACCTGCCATGCACATGACTTCTTCAGTTTTACATAAAATATCTCAATGAATAAAATATTATATTCTTAGGATGATTCTCAATTTAAGTTGCTGGGAGAGTAACTACATCCTTACAATTATTTTCTACAGTCATAAGAATATTTCCAGTTAAAATTAGGAGGATAATAAATGCAGGGAGATGTTAGAAGTTCCAGCTAATTATCTTTCAGGGACTGTGTTACATATGTTGATTATTCAACTTTGCCTTGAGATATCTCTAGAATACAGAAATCAAATGTAATTATCAAGAGTAACAGTTTCAAAATATTTAAAAGGAAATCGGATGCCTGAATTGTCTGAATATTTATTCAAAACCTATGTCAGGGTCACATAAAAATTTGCAGTTTCTCATTTGGGCATGCAACAGTGACATATGGTCCCATTGCCTCTAGTTTTGTTCTCTCATTTTCCCTTCACTGCATCCTCCATGCTGTCACCAGAATCAGCCTCAGAAATAAGCCATACCATTACCCTGCTCTTAAATGCTAAGCAACTTAAAATGCCTTGCCATGGTACATCACCTCTCCACCCTTTACCCCTTAGCCTCATTCCATGAAAGCCCCCTTTGCTGTACTCAGACACCCCAGCAAAAGCCAAACACCTACATTCACATTGCATAAAACATCTCAATATTTACCCAACACATTTCCAGGTTTAGCAAATACAGCTTCCTCCCTCCACCCAGAATTGCTTCTCCTTCACTCTCATCCGTGCACCCACCCTTCAAGATCCTGCGTAACTTCATCTGCTCTCCAACTCCTTCCCTGATCGATCTGGGCAGAGTTGTTGGTTTGTCCTTGTTTCTCACTGGCACTTGTCTTTGACTATATTACAGCCCTTACTATCTGGTGTTATAATTCTTGTTTGCAAGTTTGCCTTCTCGAATAGAGATATGTTCTCTAAAAGGCAAGAACCATGTCTTCTTTGTATCCACAGGGTTTGGGTCATAGTTTTGTACCCAACAGGCACTTAAATTCCTGGTGAATTAGCCACAGATGTAGTCTTGGTTTTTAAAAGCTTCTAGAATTAGAGGCTACTATAAGAAATACATTTTTAGAAAATAATAATGATAATTTAAAGTTCTTAAAGAGCACAGGTGGCTCAAGAAACTTTAAATTAGGGGACCTATTCCTAGATTGTGGGAAAATATCAGACCTTCCCGGTGTGTTGCATCAGAAAATGGAAGAAATCTAAAACCCACAGGTCTGCAAGCTGTGCCGTACTCTAATAAACAGGCTCACGACAGCTCCTGTTTATATGTAATGTTGAAATTAATATGTGGTGACACATTAATATTTAGTCACACTGCTGTGAAGATAGCTATCATAATTAATACATCACAGATATGCTTTATTATGAAGACAGAGTTGGAAAAATCCTTAGAGATCACCAGTTCCAACAGCTCTCTGTCCTATCTGCACATTATCATCACCAAGGAAACATTTTAAACTGTATACCTAGATCTCTCTCAGATTTCTCCCTCAGAAATTCAGTTTTATTGGTCTGGGGCGAGGCCCGGGCTTCTGGGTTTTCTGAAAGCTTCCTACAGAATCCTGACGTGCAGCCAGTCTGGAGAGCCAGTGATTTAGTCCAACCCTCTTATTTTATAAACAAGGAAAATGAAAAGCTAAGAAACAAAAAGACTTGTGAAAAGTAACTAAGTTAGAGATCATTTAGTCACACATTTAGTGAGTGCAGTCTTCACCATCTTGTTTAATTAGTTAAAAATTCCACCACTGAGTAATGTCTGGCTGATAGTGGATGTTTGATAAATCAAAGTTCAATAAATCTTTAGATAAAATATTTCCATTTTAAAAAATTTATGGAAACTATATTTACAACAAAACACACTTATTAGTAGTTTGTTATGCTAGAAAACACAGACAGATATCTCCCTTCTTTCTGCCGAAATCTGCGCTTAGAATGCAATATG